CAGCTTTTCGCACGCTCGTGAAGAAACAGATCAGATCGTCCCATATTTTAGTTATTCCGGAAGACTACTTGACATCAATTGACCTATGTTATGCATTCGTCTCCTTTTGAACCCTCTCTAAGGACCTCTCTAGCATTCAGCTCGTCTATATAAAGACTCCAATTACCTTCAACGGGTCTTAAAATTATCGTATTTTAGGTACCAACTCTACAGCTCCTTTACAACGACTTCCCTTAAAGTTCGTTCTGTGAAGACTCCAATGAAGAAAGTTCGTCTGTGAAGACTCCAATCCATTCAGCTTGCCTATAAAAGGTCTATCGATGTCCTCTTTTGGAACCTATGGAATTATTATGGTTATATACTGATTTTAGTAGTCGATCTGAAGTCCCCTATTACAGAAGAAGACTTATTTCATTTTACCATAAGCCACAGCTGGCACCCATTGCAAGAGGGAATACCTAGAGGTCCTCTATTTACAATATATATCCTCTTGAAGTTCTTTATATAAATAGAGAACCCCCTGAGTTCTTCTTAAGGTGTTCATTTAAAATTCTCAAGATGTCAAATATTGGTCATGAAATATTTTTTGAATTCTTAAAAATAGTTGAGAAGTTCTACCGACTATGGAGGTGCTGAATTGACATCTCTTGAGGCACTGCTTCTGCAGTGGATTAATTTTTTTTTTTCAAAAGTACACCAAAGACGTGGATCTAAAATTTTTTTTGGGGAGTCTCCTTAGGCTTGGATTTAAAAAAATATTTTTCTAAAAAATAATTTTTAAATTATTATTTTTTTTTTGAATTTTCCAAGACCCTCCTCAATTTGGATTCAAAAAAAAAAAATATTTTTCGAGCACCCTTCTTAGGCTTGGATTTTTAAAATATATTTTTCAAGAGTCCACCGAAGGCATGGATTAAAAAAAATGTTTTTAAGGAGCCTCCTTTGGTTTGGATTACAAAAATCAAGACTCCTTCGGTGGACTCTTGATTTTTTTTTCAAATTTATTTTTCAAGCCTTTCCGATATTATAAACTTGCAATTTTATTTTAAATGAAAGTGAAAAAACTTAAAATTACGGAAGAGAGACTTCCACCATATAATTTTAAAACAAAATTCCTCAATAAAACCCAATCTCCACTAAAACCACAAATTAAATACCAAAACTTTTCACAAAAAAACTAAACCTTTCAATAATCTCTTGCGATTGTTTCAAATAATTAAGTTAATCGCTAAGCGTTTATAGTTTTTCCTTGTACAACAACAAAAGCAGCAATATTTTTCCTACCGCACAATGACCGATAATTTTCAAAAGGTGGTAATAGACCCCCTCTATCGACTCCCTAACACCTTCAGTCATCTTAAACTGAATGGCTAGTCGGCCTAACCAACTGGGTGGGTAATGGTGCCGCTCATAACCATAAAATCTATGACTTAATAAAGTCAATTCCAATGAATTGTGGTGATTGCAGCAATTTAGGAAAAAAAAAATTAAAAGAGCCAACCGAGGAGGAAAGAAGTCAAACACGTTTTTTGTTGCTTTTCAGATGGCCATAACTTTTGTAATAATTTTTGTGGGAAACCGCTATGGAACATGTTTCAAAGTCAAAGAGTGATGGAGTTATGGACGGCCATTAGCGGGCAATGTTTTACAAAATATTTTGAAATGTTTATGTTTTTCTTCGACGATAAAAAAAAACTTTGGGTTTTATTTTTGTAATCGGGAAAGTTATAAATTGCGTAAATTTATGAACAATTTTCCCCCATCAAAAGTGTTGTAAGCTTATACTTTATATAGGTTCGGAAAAATTAATTGGATTATGTATTGCCAATTTGTTTAAATGGCTATAAAATATTGGAAATTACAGGAGAGTTGTGGAACTAGCTTTTGGAAAATTGTGAAAATTTTTAAATATATTAAGAAGTGGGTATTCTCAAGATTCAGGAGATGCAAATTCAGGACCTCCATAGGCCTTCTATTGTCGGTAGATCTTCTCAACTGCAAATAGAGAACTTCAAGAGTATTTCTGTAACAAATAGAGGATCTCAAATTGTCATATGTTTTATGGTAAAATCGACTTCTAAAATCAGTAGATTACCATAATAATTCCAATAAAGGGCCTCGAAGTACCTTCTACGGATTCAGAAAGTTTTTTTCTGAGTTAGGAGTCTTTATAAGGGAGATGGATACACACGGAGCCTTTATAGACATACTAAAGGTAAGGGGACTCTGGATCAGCTATTGGTAATGAGCGACTAAGTACAAGAGCTATATTCATGATTTTAGGCCAAGGGTTTTTATAGAAGTATCTACAGTTGTCCAGTAGGAAATTTTTCCGTGCTGAAGGGAGTCTCTTTTTATAGACAAACTGAAGAGAGTCATTAACCCTTTGAGCCTCGAATTTTTTCCGCAATCTTAGAACAAATTTCTGTTCACGGATTTAATGGAACTATCCTAAATAGGATATGCACAAAATTTGACATTGCTACATCCTTGCATTCGGGAGATACAGTACATTCTTTCGGAAAAATTAAAGTGCAATATCAAGAAAACCAAATGCAAAATCGACAGAAAAATCAGACGACACAAATCAAATGAAAAATCTAAAAAATTCAAATTTTCGGTAAAATTATAAGTTTTTCAATATAGAGAAGAGGGCAAATCGCTTCGTATTCGAATTATACAAATTCTGTCCTCAGAATAATTGTTAATTCTTGTAAAAATGAATATAGTGAGGGAGAGATTTTTACCCACCAAAGATGTATGACCTATTATTTGTATCTGATTGACAGAAGGCCTTTTATAAGAAGAAGCCATCCTATAGGTCTTCCAAGGAAAAATGCCTTCTTTGATAATACCGACTTTGGGATTGTATCTGAAGATCGAATCTTCACCTTCTAGGTCAGTAAATAATCTACAAGGTTCTAAAAATAGAATACCTTCTAAAGAACTTGTATAGGTAGAATATATTCTCAGGGATTTCTGTAAGCAGAAGGCCTTTTACACAGGTCTTCTATGGACCCATATCAATATCATAGAATAGAATCATCAATAGAATTTCTGAATATCATCGATCATCGTTGGGACATCATCTATAGCTCTTCTATAGACACAAAATCTAGTCTTACATGGACAAAAGTCCTTCGATGGATAGAAAACCACCTTATGGTAAGATATATCTGAGATATTCTACATTTTCGAGGTCGTAATAATTTCTATAGTACGTTATAGAGATTTTCTATAGAAAAACGATGCGCTATAGGTCTCCAATAGACAAAATATGATCCATTCTATGGACCCACACCTTAGGCCTTCAAAAGAAAGACAAACTTCTGAATGTCGTGTACCTGTAGATATTCTGTAGACGAATGACCTTTTATAGGTCTTATAAAAGATATTCTATAGAGAGGAGAGAGGTTCATCAGTTTGTAAATGAGGTAGCAGAAGGACTGGACCAATGGGTCCTATCTTCGTACTTTATGTAGGCTTGGTAAAGATAATAGGTTTGGTTTAAAATTTTGACCATTTCGTGTGGGAGGTACCACAAGGAGTGGACCGATATTCCCCATTTTTGAACATAAACTAAGTTTGAATTAAATATTACTATGTCCAAAGCTTGGATGACTCGGAGACACATAGACAGACGGACGCTCATTTATAAATCGACTCAAAATTGTCGGAAACAGAGTTGATCCAAAGAAACACAGGGTCTAACACCAAAAATTAATTTTTCGGTGGACTTCATCCCAATGTCCTATGTCCTTCAGGCGTAAATGTATACGCCATAGAATACAAATTTCGTAGTTTTTCACACAAAAGTCAGGGTCCATTTGACCCGCTAAATATTGACCGATCTTAATGAAAACAGGCATGTTTATTTTTTGGCCCGATCTCCTTCTCCCGATCTTCTTCTCCATAGTCGATATTCGGACCATAATTGCGGCCTCTTGAGCGACCAGAAAAACCGACAAAAATTAAGTATTTGATCCATTTCAACCACTAAATATTAGCCGATCTTTACCAAGTAAGATAGTGGTCTTCATTGGCCAGAACCCACCCTACATTCAAAATTTCGCGAAGATTGGTCCATAACTGTGGCCTGTATTGTGTTTACAAATTATAATGGACAGACGGACGGACACACATGTCTAGATCGACTCAGCTAGTCGAGATATGACGATAGGTATACTTAAAGGTAGGTCTAGGACCAATATTTCGCGGCGTTACAAACTCTTGAGGCTGCACAAAGTTATAATACCCTGACAACATAGGTGTGTAGGGTATAAAAATGAATGTTCTTAAAGGGTTCTCAAAAAATATTCTTCAGAACTAGCTATGTGAAAACAGAGATCCATATCGAAAAATGTCACCCTCCAAATCCGAAATACCAAAATACGACCGCTTTGATGTGAAATATCCCTAAAACAATTAAAATACCCAAAACCCCTTTTGACCAATATCGAAATTTTTCTGCAAAAATGTTTTCAGCCTGGAACCAGGAATGCCACATTACAGCTACTTGGGTGGGGAAAAATAGGCGAAAATCTGTAAAATACTGAAAATATGCGAGAGCTGTGTATAAGGGGGATATGTGAAAATATGGACCCATTTTTTAAATGCTCCGCTCAGCAAAAATATTTTTCACACAAATCTGGAATGCTAAATTCCAGATAGAAAATCTTCTGCATCTTTGAATGACACAAGAACATTGCAGTTCTTCTGTTAACAGAAACCCTCTTGTAGATTTTCTTTAGCCGGAAGACCTTATAAAGTTCTTCTAAAAATTTAAGACCTTTTATATTGCTTTTAAAAATTTGAGACCTTTTCAAGGTGGAATGCAAAATCCACATTGTTTGGAAAATCTGGACAGGACTAATTAAATACCAAAAATGGGGCGGGAGGGAGGCTCCTTTATGTTGCTGAATGTCTTCTATTTACAAACGCGGTTCTTTTCTATTCCCAAAGCCCTTTTGTAAAATAAAAAATCCTTGTATTTAACTTACCATCAATTTGTAGTATAAGGCATATTACACCCACAGCTATGATCCATTGATATATAATCCACATTTTTAATAGCGCGGTATTAGCTCCAGATGGCAAAGATGATAATGGGGTTTATATTCAGTTATTAATGCACACTTTTTTAAATACTGATTGTCACACACTTTTATCTCACTTGTTGTGCTCAATATCGAACAAAGTATGTCCTCTGTTTTTTTTTGCAACACCTTTTCGATTACACGAAGTTCGGTTTTTTTCCAGATGCTGTTGTCAGATTTTCATAATAGTGGTAATATTTAATAATAACAATACTCCACGGTCAACAATGTTAGTACGACAATAATTTAAACATGACTGCATGCATACATACATATGTTGTAAGTAGCACAAACACACACTCACACACACACTTTAATAATCTTTGTTTTATTAGTTATTAATTTGTAGTTTTTTCTTTCAATTTTTGTTTTGTTTTCCGTTACAGAGACCCCGTGTTGTGCTGATTTTTAAACATCGATAGTGAAACGTTGGCAAATGTTTTGAAATCTTCTCGCGGTATATGGAGACACACTTTCTGCTATGACACTGAGACAAGGTTATGCGCGGATGCCGTGATAATGTTCGGGGCAGGCGGTCGTTCGGTCGGTAGATCGCTCTGTAGTTCGTTTAAATGTTTTCTTCAAAGACAAGTTCAAAACAGTTAAGAAATGCAACAGGCAAACGAGTGGCAGTGACTGGTGGCAGCAACATAACTGTGGCAATGTGAACTTATTTGTAAGTTAACATAAAACATATTTTTCGGAGGGAGGGAGGAGGTGGGCACGAACTTATGATGATGATAAACGATAGTTGTTGGTGTTAAGAGTTTCTGTTATCCAAAACAAAATAATAAAACACCTTGGTGTTACCATTCCCAACAGTATGATTAAATACCACTCTACATGACGTGTTTCTTCACATTTATGGCAGACAGACACCCCAGTTGAAGATGATGAAGGCCCACGTTCTTTTTTGATAGCTGTTGTTACAAATGTTTCACATACACATATGTACATATGTACTTATATATTCACGTATTGTTATTATTTGCGTTTTGCCGGTATATATTTAGTAACAGTTGTTGTTTTTGTTATTAGCCGTTTTTTTCACGATTCTAGTTTTTGTAGCTGTATTTGTTGCTGTTGCTTTGTTGTTTACTTAGAAATTTTTTTTAGTTGGGAGTTTTCCGGCTTTGCTGTTTTTATTTTTGGTTTCTTCTTCTCTTCTCCTCTGTTTTTTTGTTTTTTGCCGTTTTTTATATAAGATGTTCTACAAAACAAAAAAATATATTTAGTGGCTCAACACTTATGCTTTAGTTTATCGGGCATTTTTGGGTTGGATTTTATTTTCATTCAGAGATTTATCATTTTTATGGACTATTTGTCGCTGGCATGGATTTACATGGGTACTAGAGGGAGGAAAAGGGTTATTAGATGGGTGTCATTTAATAACCTAACAAAATTCTCAATATTTGTAGGTTCATTATAGATTTTTATTCTCTCCTATGCATAGAAGACCATCAATAGGTATCGAAGGAAGGTTCTAGAAAGCCTCCCATAGATGGAAGGTCTCTTATTGGTGTTCCATAAACAGAATACATTTTATAACTAAAAATCATGACCTTCCATCGATAAAAGACCTCTTATAGTCTTTCATAGAAAAAAATTCCTTTTATATACAAATTTTGGTCTTTATACCTCCAATTAGTTTTCTTTAAATATATAACCTTACCCATATATGGTAGATATTAGACCATCTATAGAGAAAACCAGCTTAGACCTTCTGTATACATAGTCATTTTTCCATAATCCTTCTTTGAATATAAAACATTTTACTGTCTTTGAACAGTAAGCCTTCTCTAGACCAAATACATTCTAAAAATGTGAGGATATTACATAGGCATTCTATAAAAAGATGACGTCATATAGGTTTACAGTAGACAAAAATCATCCATGGGTCTTCTACAAACACAAGGCCTCCGTAGGACTTCTATAAACCCATATATAGGATTTCAATCTGTCGATCATTGATGAGCTGGAAACCATCTATAGGCCTTCTATAGACTGAAGATCATCTTTTGGCGTCTTGTAGGCTGTTGACTTTTTAAGGGTACATATATACATTTTCCATAAATAGAAGAAGGTCTTTAATAGATGGAAGATGTTTTATTGGCCTTCCTTAGACGGAACATCTTTTAAATAAAATACCAATTGCCAGGATTCTAATTTTGTAAAGGACTATATATATATATATATATATATATATGGAGATTGGTATTCTTTAGTTAAAATATCCTCGATATTTTTCTATTTATAGAAGATTCTAGAGATAGAGGACCTCTTATTGGTCTCCCATTTAGAAGATCGCGGTAGAAGTATTCCTGTAGTTTGTGATGCATAGATTGGTATTCTATAGTTAGAAGATCCTCAATATGTATTCTATCGATGCAGGATCTATAGACAGAGGACTTTTTATATATGGAAGTCTTTATAAATGTCTTAATAAACTGTAGGTATTTTAAGGATAAAAGAAGACATATAGTATTCCCAGTTGTTGTAGAAATAAAATACATGCGATGGGTCATTCGTTCAAGAATGTTGCAACTTGAACGGGATGCTTAGCTTAGCTTAGCTTAGCTGGGAAGTTGAAAAGGTGCAACGTGTCGTGTGGTCCTAGTCCACAAGCAGGACATGTGTCGGATATCGAGCGGTCAATTCTTACCCAATATGAATAGAGGCGGTTGCACCATCCTGATCTTAGTTGAGCTACGACTACTCGCGTTTGTTGCGGCAGCTGTTTCTCCTCAGCTGCGATGGATTGGGGGTAATATCCGATTGTGGTATTCACACGATATTGCTCTACTGCCTGAACGACTGTGTTCGTGTGAATACCATTCAGATGTGATTGATAAGCTTCTTGATCAAGTATTCACGCCTTTATACCCCTCTCTCTAGATCATGAGAGGAAGTCCTCTCCATAAGACAATGGCAGGGGTGTTTCTGACAATAGCACCCGAGCAAGTACTGCATCGACAACATGTAGTCGATGGGTACGATCTTCGTCTCCTCATGAAGGTGGTCCACAGGAGTCATGAGGAGACACCCTGTTGCAGTTCTCAGGGCAGCATTCTGACCGGTTTGGATATTTTTCCATTGCGTATCACTTACATTCGCGAACCACGTTTGCGGCGCATAGCTTGCTTTATAAGAGGTCAACAAGGTTTCTTTGTCAGTGTACCAAGTGTTGCCGGCTAGCGATTTGAGGACATTGTTCCTACTTCTCAGCTTATCACATGAAGCAGTGGCTTGCGCACACGACTTGAATAGGCTGTCGAACGTTACTCCATGTATCGTTGGGTAGTTGTTGGTCGCAATCAGTTCTCCATCGACCTCCATATGGTGAACAGTGTGGCTGTTGATTTTGTACGGATATTTTCATATTCCTCAGATGGAAGAAATTTACAAGATTAGCTATGTAGAAGTTTATCCTCTCACATAGTTCATCAATAATAAAATACAAGTATTCCCAGTGGATATATTACCTTTAATGAGAAGTTAAGGCTTTATAGAGGTCTTTCTAAGGGTCTTCTTTAGACCAAAGAATAGTATTCATTAAATAATTTGTGCATTGAATCGGAATACCTTCTATGGGTTTTCCAAAAAACATTTAAACCTTCTAAAAATTTGAACACATTTTTAAGGTCGCCTAAAACTTTGAGACGTTTTTAAGGTCTTCCATAGGGAGAATGGGCAGAATTTGACAGAAGTTAATTTACAGGTCTTCTAAAACCTTATACAGGCCTTCTATAGATAGTCTCCCATAGATAAATATAGGCCTCCAAAGATAGACAATCTTGTGAATGTCTTCTATAGACAGTAGAGAAAGTTATTTATAGGACTTATAAAAGCTCTTCTATAGAGATGAAACCTTGTAGGAGTATTCTTTAGATCCCAAAGAAAATAATTCTCTAAATATTTTTTATTGAACAAAAAGACCCACGAAATACTCCTTCAAAATCTACGTTTATTGCAATAAAATACCTTTCAAAAAATATTCGTAAAAAATACGCTCTTAATGGCTTTAAATGATCCTCAAAAAAAAAAATATATATATATATATATATATATATTAAATGGCTAACATACACGTACTTCCATACAAAATTTCCTGCAGCGATTATATAGGTCATCCTTATATAGGTCATCCTTAGATATTCTACAAACGAACACTCTCTTCAGGCCCTCTATAGTTCTTCAATTGAATTTCTGAATGGCTTCTACAGACAGTGGATTTATTAATATTAAATAGACAGAAGAACTTTATTATATCTTATAAAAGCTCTTCTATTGAATGGAGACATTTTTCGGAGTCTTCTTTAGACCCTAAAAAATTAATCATACCTCAAAATAAATAATCTTCAAAATTCGCTATGTGTAAACGTAGACTCATATCGAAATTTTTTTGCAGCGATGCATATCACCCCTCAAAAAAACCCCGGGACCTTTATATGGCTGCTATGACAAACATTGACCAATATCGAAATTTTTCTGCAAAAATGTAATTCAGCCTCCAAGAACCCAGAATGCCAGAACCTTAAAATACTGAAAATCTGCGGGACCTTTCTATTGTGTTATACGTGATAACATGGACCCATTTTAAAAATGTATTGCAAAAATGTTTTTCACACGAATCTGGAATGCCTTAAATGCGGTAAGGACATTTATGGATATTATGTCAAAACGTGGAAAATATATTTTTTTCTGGGAAGAAGTAGCTTATTCTTCCGAAATCCGCAATGCCAAATTAAAAGCGATCGTTCATAGTTTTGCATTTAATAACCCTCTTCCACCATTAGCAACATTGTTGCCTCAATTTCAATTCATCGCCCAATTTGTTGTTGTATTTTATTACAAATCATAGTATTATTGACACAATTTTCATTTTGTTTTGGTAAAGAACAATTGAATTACGCGAAAACTTTAAAGAGTCTATTTTCATGGTATCTGCATAGAAAGTAAGAAAAGTGG